AAACATCCTGCCAGAAAGTAAGGAAATGCTAAAAAAAAAGTGGGGAGGAGCTTTCCCAAAGGACATAGGAAGCTACCAGAAGGAGCTCTTACTGGCCAAAGCTGGCATAATTTAAGGAACAAAATGATGATAGGACTAGATTATAACCCATGGTGTATAAAGATCCATGAGTCCATGATGATATAAACAAATAAGTAGGAAAATGGACAGCTCTTCTTCTAGAAGTCCAGTTGATGTAGAAAAAAAAGGGAAATACCACAGTAATAATTGTTGCAAACAAGATGCTTAAATTAGTGGGTAGAAAGTTTGAGGAGAAAGCTATTTACTCTCCAAGTAGCTATACTATCTTTCCCTTTGTAATTGCTGAGTAACTTTGCAGTGAGAAGCCCAGGAGAGACCACTTAACCGAGGCATCAAGGTCAACATCACCTGGAATCAAACGTATCATAAAGGATGCATCACGTCTGGTGTTCTGGCCAAGTGTACAGACTCATTCATTCCAATCAGGAGAAAACATCAGACAGATCCACATCGAGGGATACTGTTCAAAATAACTGACTAGTATTCTTCACAAGTGTCTTTTCAAAGGTGAGAAAGGGCTGAGGAACTATTACAGAGAAATAATGGCGCAATGTGGGCTCCCGGGTTGGATCCTAGAAGAGGCTTAGACATTAGTGGGAAAATGGTGGAATTCCCAAAGGTCCTTAGTTCATAGTACTGTATCCATGGTAACTTCTTGGCTCTGATCGTGGTACTATGGTTATTTAAATGTTAACATTATGGGAAGCTGGGTGAGGGATATATGGAAACTATTATGTTTCCAATTTTATGTTAAATTAGTTTAAAACGAAGTTTAAAAAAGTTAAAAAGGGCATGGGAGGGGAGGATTATACAATGAAACCAGTTAGCAAAACTGTGATTTTTGTCACCTGCTTTGGCAGATGACATGTGTGTGTGAAGTGACAGAGTCTGGGACTTGTTCTGTAAGCTACTGTGTCAGTTTGGGTCGCCTGGCAAGCAGACACTGAGAGGGAGTTGGGAGTGCCAGGGACAGACTGCGGGACGGAAGAGGTGCCCTGGCTGTGCAGTCATGGGCTGGGAGGAGCCTGTCCTCAGCTCACACCGACACACGGGCTGAGCATTCTGCTGCCTGATGGCACCAGGCCACGCAGCCCCCTAGGAGGCCCTCCCCCTGGTGTTTCAGGGGCCCGTGTGGAACCGCCTCCCTCGTGGAGGATAAACGCTGACTTCTACTCAGTGCTACGGGCAGGCGGGCTTGGACCCCCTGTGAGCGACTAGATGGGCCGCCGGGGCGGGGGGGCATCCCGCTGGCACAGGGCTGCAACTGAAACCTCAGTTTCTTGGCTGGTGCCAGTCAGACTCAGCTTTAGAACAAGACGAAGCCTGGAGGAAGGCACCCGTGGGGCTAACGAGGAAATCGCAGTGAGCTGGCTTTAAATGGCTGCAGCTGGGATTAGAGTATTTTTAGCCACAGGATGCAGCCAGCTTTCAAAACCTGCTAATAGCCTCACTGTAGCCAGCAAGTAAAACCAGCATAAAAGTGTAGCTTTTCATTTAATTGACAGCCAGAATCTGCTTAGCTAGGAGCTGGCTTAGAGGGCAAATCGGAGGAAGAGAACACTTCTCACTGCAAGTTTAAGGTAATTCTTCACACCGATCACTTTTGAAAACTAACCTCCGTTCATTTAGTACATCCGTCTTTTGCCCATAGCTCAGGATGTGTGCATTTTGGGTAAACAAATTATGTCACCCCTAAGCTTGAAAGAGAAACAATCTCTATTTTCTAAGTTCTAAGAATGCCCACCCGCCTCCTTCCCCTCGCCTGCGAGAAGTCGCTCCCAGAGCCCCAGTCGGTTCATCGATTGCCACCAAGCCCGAGGCTGGGACTGGATGGCTGGGGGCGCCCCCGGGGGGGCAGGCTGCTGGGCGCTGCAACAGCTCATGTCTCCACGTGAGGAAAGGGGACCCGCAGGTGGAGAGGCCTTGGTGACAGAAGGGAGAGGTGATGGGCGGCAAACACGACAGAGTCTGGAGCACACAGGAAAAGCCAGTCCGTCTTTACTGTAGGGAGTGCAGGGTACAAATAGTTTACAACAACCTCTAGCGTTTTCTTAACCATTTGATAAAAAGTTCACTATAATATTTATTGTATAATGAAAAACAACACATTCAGGGAAAAGTTGAGATTAACTTAGTTTTCATCTCAAGGATGGCAACCAAGTCCAGCTTGTGCCGCCAAACGGTTTTCCATGACCAAACCGTGTACAGCTTCTCGTGTGAACTGTTGACTACAAACATTTACCAAATACATAAATCTCTTTTTTAAAAAGCCATTTTTAAATATAGCAAAGCAGTGTCTTCTTGCACAGCAAAGTGAAGAGAGTTTCTACAGAGAAATAAAAGTTCTGCGTTTGTAAAATCATTTTCACATTCTAATAGTCCTCTAGCGTCTTCTGAGCCAATGCCAGGAGTTCTCTGGTTCCTTATTTACTATGTATTTCTTGTGCGCGTGATGGTTAGTACAGAAAGGATGTGGATGCTTTAGGACTTGTCCTAGTTAAAGGAAACGGTAAAACACTGTTCTAGAACCAATCCCTGATTTCATCTCTAACACAATGGACACAATTAGGGCTCAAAAGATGGAGTTTGGGGTGGGGCCACCTGCAGACATGCGATGGTGACTTCGCTCTCCATGCAATGCCAGCCAGGGGACTGACAGAGTACAGCCCTGGACACTGCATGTGAACCAGTGCGACTCACTCAAAGCTTTTTTTGTTTTTATCTTTTAGTAATAAAATACGTTATCTGAAGGGGTAAAATTGTCTTGTGATGGTGGCATATAAAACACGAGGCTAAAGGGTAAGAAATGGAGGTTCTGCGGTAACCCCATTAGTGTCTTTCCCCACCGAGCTGGTTTCCGCCCAGAGGGGTGCCTGTGTTCGTACAGGGTGGCAATGGGGAGGGCGGCTAAGGGTTAACAGTCTACGATTCAGTTCCTGAAAACGGAATACATTGTTACTTGGTCAGTGAAAGTGAAATACAAACTCCGAGCCTTGCGTAATATTTAGAAAACAGTAGTTGTACTGATTAGAAACCTGCATAGAAAGAAAGACTTGAGATACAGTCAGAAAAGCCATCTCATAAGGCACACAAGAAAATAGACAGTAAATGCGAATGCGGTAACTCCTCTCCGATGTTTGTGAGCATGCGTAAATGACGAGTCACTTCACTCTTTCAAAGCTATAAATGGTTTACAAGTGGTAAGGATCGTCGTGGAAGTTCAGTGTCGGGGGAGAGTGTCTTGTTTCAATTAGGTGTGACCGTATGAAGAGATGTGCCTGTGAGTAGTTCGGTGAAACAAGTACATTTTAAAGAACGAATCTTTCTGAGTAAGAGCCAAATGTCTATACTGATAGGAAGAGAGCGTGTCCCCCTCCCTTTTTTGGCCTCTATTAAAATTTACTACCCAAACTGTCCATAAGACAGAATTCCATTTTGCAGCCGTCAGTGCCACAGGTTTATACCTATGTGTCAGTCAGAAAATCTGGCTGATGATTTGTCACAAGTAGCATATGAGGAAAACATCAAAAGGAATGCAATTTAGGGGGAGAAACAAAACGTAAGTACAAATTGTAGGTAGCTGCTCAATAGTAAGTTTAAAATATAAAATAGCGTTTTTTAAACCCTTATTTTAAGTTTCTCAGGAAAAGTAGTAGTTAAAAATCTATGGTGAAAGTAGATATACAGGACTTTGAATTTTGTTCATGGCACAAGCCCAGAAAGTGGCCGAATGTGCGGTCACCACTTAGTTGTCCTCCTGTAAGAGTAAGGCCTTGGTCACAATCTCAGCTGAGGGTGGCACCGTTTCATGAGGCTGGCACCAGTCGGACGAGGAGCAGCACCTGGGGTGTCTCCCCACCGACGTGTCCCCTCCCTGCACAGAGCTCAGAGGGGGCGTGTTTGGTAGCCAGCCATAGCCTTCTATCTTAGGGGGTCAGGGAAAAAGCCCCCCACGGATATGTCTCCCTAACCATTTACCACTTAGAAAACCTTTGTGCTCCTCTACTATTTTGCCATTTTCTCTAATAGGAATTAAATTAGGCCAGCTTTTTCTACATTTTTCCTCACAAAAGGCAAGTTTTAAATAATGCCTTATAAAATCTGTTACAACACATTTTATATTTATGCAGGATGAACTTAACACCATTTTTTTTGCCACTTTGCTATTTATGTACACATAGAAAATATATAATGATGCTCAACCCATACAGCACAGAGATTACAATGTAACATCACACATTCATCACCAGTGGGGGAGAAACCCCTCTATACAGTCCTCTGAAAAAACTGGGCTAATCATTAAAATCCAAAGTACAGTATATTTAACAAAATAGTAAATATTAAACAGTGAATACTCTACTTAATAAGGATCTCGCCTTTCCCCCCCAAATTGGCGGCAATCCACAAAAATATACTTTTTAATCTGGTGACCATACAATACATAGGTACTTACATCAAAGGTGATAATATATTTAAGATGCTATATACACAAAGAGTTTGGCTCAACTTTTAATTTATATATAGAATAAGTGTTCATGGCTTTTTTTTTCCAAGGTTCTGCTTGCAAGATATTTTTGTTTGTTTTTTTCCCCTCTTAACTTTTAGAATAAAACTAAAAAGTTAAAACAAGATATTCTCTAAAAAAAAAAAAAAAAAATTAAAACATACAGCTTTGGCTTATATAAATAATTCATAGCAGAATGTTTTCAAAAGTAGTGAATATAATTTTATATAGTCATCAATTCATAAGGGTGTTTTCTTTCATATAAAATATACATGAGCTAAAATCAGTTTCTTTAATTTTTAAGATATGAATGTAAAAAGAAACTTCTGACATATTCCAATTATAACTTAATATATTAATTTACTTTGTTAATGTTCTATATTTCTAGACTAATATTTTCTGAAGATCTCATGCGTGTTTTCTATTCTCTCTTTTATTAGCTAAAGATCACTTCTTTGACCCAATACATTTTTGCACGTGCAAAACACTTATGTGTGGGGCTTTGTTTTTTTTTGTTTTGTTTTGTTTCGTTTTTTTAATGTCAACAGCCCTTTACCATGCACCCCTTTGCGACAGAGACCCATGCCAGGTTGGGTAGTTAATATAAATGACATTTTATGTACAGTATTGCTTTCTTGGTTCCTGCTTTTCTACTGCTCTGTTCTACAAAGCATTTTTCTTAAGTCCTACAGTCACCGCACAGTTAAATAAAACAAGTAGGGCCCTCTAAGTTTCTGCAAGCTAGTGTGGGGGAATTATATATGAGGACACCTTTCTCGGCAAAAAACGGGGTACTGGGTATCGTATGAAACAAGTAGTCCAAGGAAGTGCCAGGCTCGACTGCCTCCAGGTGCTGGTCTGCCACGGGACGCACATCTGCGGCTGTGCAAGGAGTTCGCAGGTAAGTGCCTGGCTCTGTGTCTGCAACACACGCACACACACACTCACACCCACATACATACATGTGAAAGGGCTATGTATGTATGTATGTACATATAAATATATTTACCTCATGTCCTTACCCACCAGTTACATATGGAGGCCAGTCCACTGCAGTCACACACAGTACGTGACACCAGCCGGAGGAAGGGGGCCTAGGTCACCCACGCGTCCATCCGCATGCGCTTGACCGAAGGGCTCTCCCTGTCCTCCGCGGCTGGGGGGCGGCCGAGCACCACCGGGGAGTGGAAGTCGCCCCGGGGATCCTCCCGGTCACTGCCGTCATAGGAGCTGCTAGAGCTGCTCAGACTGTCCACAGGGGAGCGCCCCATTTCCTGCCGGGGCTGCGGGGGCTGGGACTGCGGCTGCTGCTGCTGGAAGCCTGAGGGGGTCATTCGATCCCGGGGAGGTGAAATCGGTTCTGACTTAATGTTGATGTTCTGGTTGGTATTAATGGATAAATTCGAACCCTGAGATAACTGCCCTCCGGAACTGCAGGGGAAAAAAAACCATGTTAGATGGGCTGTGAGTGTTTGTGTCACTGGACTGAGCACAGACCCCGTCTGACCGAAGCCCTGTCAGAATCCCCGGGACTGGTGCGGGGCGTTTCCTTCAGTGCTCGGCCCCCAAAGAAATCACATTTCTTGGCAAGAAAAAAAAGCACAGTAGCGACCGCAGTGTCCAGTTCTACCCACACCCTCGGCACTGGTAGCTGAAGTAGCCCCAGTGTCTGTGTCTGATGCTGCCATGGACGAAAACCGTAGAGGAGCAACATAGCACCCTGAATTCTGCCCCATGACAGGCACGACTCCAAGGAGGCAGGCCTGTCCGCCAGCTTCCCAGGGAGGACGTGGGCTCAGAGGAAAGGGACCTGCCCCAAGCACAGCCCACGTGCCCGGCCATCCCCACTTGCCCTTTGCAGGGCTGTGTCTAGTGTGTGTAGGAGGAGGCTCAGCACTGGCCGAGGCCCTCTGTCCATGGCGTGATGCCCCAGGAGACGACTGCCGGCAGGAGCCCCTGGGGCTGCTTTCAGGATGCAGGGGGAAGGGTTTGCTGAGCTAGGCTAGCTCTCCGGGGACTCCCGGGGCAGGTGTGCCTAGCGTCCTGAGCAGGGACAAGGCAGCCAGCGTTCAGGAGAGCAGAGGGGTCTGCTGTGCTGTCCCTTCTTTGGGGACGCTCTCCCTCACCCGCTCCAGGGGCCTCCTGTCATCCTGGTATAGACGCTGCTCCTGCCGTGAGCCCTCCTCACTTACCTCCCCACGCGTGCCCAGAAGGTGAGTTCTCTGAGGTGCAGTGGGCCAGGATCAGCCCCATGTGGCCTGACTCACACACAAACCCCCTCCCCTACGTGCTGGGCAGAAAGCAAGTGGCACCACTTATTTTCCTGGTCTCTCTGTCCCTGATATTCCCCAGAGCATAAAACAGGAAGGTAGGTGGGCTTGAATCCCTTCCAGCTGCCTTTCTTCAAACAGGGAGATCAGACAAGGGTTGGCAAGGAGGGATGGGAGAGGGTGGCTTAATCATTGGCCGGTAGGTAGAAGGGGTGCCTGTGCCTCGGCACCCCCTTAGCATGTCCATCTGAGAGAGGCCTAGCTCCCTGCATCCCTGCAGGGAGTGCCTAGTTTGCCCAGTATCCAAGCTCTGATCTAGAGCCCTGTAAGCCTCCAAACACTTGTGGCACCTAAAAAAGTCAACAGCACAGAAGACAGAAGAGGGCGTGCGGACCAGGGTTACTCACACCAAGGAGCTGAGGGCGGCTTGTCCTAAGTGGTGCTGCTGCCAGGCTGACACCTGGCCCAGCGACAGCATGCCCGGGGAGCTGAAGCCCTGCAGGGCCGACAGGTCCGCGCTCGTCAGCGAGTAATCTGGAAGAGGAGGAGACGGGCTCGTGGGCAACATGCTCCCACATGGCAGCCTCCGAGCCCCAGGCAGGGAGACGTCAGGCACTTCCTCCCGCCACACGCTACGGGGGTAATTCCCCCAGAAAATGGTCTTTCAGGAGGTTTATAGGACTTAGCTCTAGTTAGGTGTTTGGAATGATTTCAATAAAATAAGCTTCAATCCTCTACTAAATGTTTATTGTCTATTATTTCACAAAAAGTTGAGCCACTCTTTCTAGGCTTATAAATAAGAAAAAGGCCGTCACTAAAGGGCGTTCCTTGGCCACTGTTATAGGTAATACCCCCGCCCCCACCCTCCACTCACAGCCTGAGTCCGCACCCACCCGTGAGTCAGGTTCCTGAGGGGACGGGAAGGACGCAGCACCCTCATGGGTGCCACCCCGAGTGATACACGGTCATTACATTATTACACAGTTCATCAACCACATGTGTTCAAAGTTACAGGGACCATCAGACATCCTTGACGACAAGCAAATTATTGGGCTGTCGGAAAAATGACGTATTTTTTCTATGTTTTTCGTTGCAAAAATGTGCCATGACTTTTCCAACAACCTGCTAGTTTCAAGTCCATGAAAAAACTCTGTGGTACGAGAGTACACATGGGTCACTCTACATGGATGCTTCAGTCATCGCCAGCCAGGACCCGGGACCTGAGTTATCATTCACAGTTATTTCAGCTCGTCATTCACACTTGTCTTTCCCGTTTAGTTGTAGAGAGAGGTGGCAGAACCTCTTCTACTTTATATCTCAAGAGAGGTGTGTAAAGAAGTTGGTCTTCCCAGTGAATTATTTTTTCAAAAAGCAACTGGGTTAAACAGCAGAGTTTGGCACTCAGGCTGCTGTCACGGCTCCATGTCCCCTGTGGTCTCACGGCAGCTGGGGGGAGAGGGGGCTCACCCCAATGCCTCCCACAGTGACCCCTCTAAGCCCACAGCTCTCTGACCTCTGCTTCCAAGGTCCTGCCCGCTGCCTACCTGACAGGCCTACTTGGACGTCTCCACCTCCAAAGCTGCTCCACTTTGAACACTCCTTATCTTAGTAAATGGCACCAACGTTCCCCTCGCTGCTCGTGCCAGGGACCGGGGCTGTTGTTCTGATAATTCTTTGCGCTCTGCCCCGTCCCCCCGCCCCCCGCCAAGTCTGCTCCATTCCATCTGTCTCTGAAGCCCGCCCAGGCTTCACCATGCCTGCCGCCACCCCTCAGTCCAAGCCTCCCGTCCCCATTACTTGGCCACTAGAGCCCCTTGGGTGCTGTCCTTGCATTCACATCTGCCCCATGCACCCTGCAGCCAACGTGACATTTAAACAACAAATAGGATCATGACACCTTGCTGCTCACAGCCTTGTTTGTGGCTTCCCAAGAGGATGTCCAGAATCCTCAACATGGCGTACAAATCCCTGCTCTCTCGACCCACCCAGCGCGCCCCCTCCCCGGACACTCTCTGCCAGCCTCCTCTAGGCTGGCGCGTACATGGGGCCCCAAACACGAAAGTAAGAAATGATTCTGAGAGCTGTGTGTCTTTCCCCCTGACAGACCCTAAGTTCCACTGTGAACCCCGCATTCTTGTACTCCAGTGCCTGCACAGCACCTGCCCCCCAGGAGGTGCTCCATAACTTACTGAAGGCACAAAAACCTAAGTTTGTGAAGCTGGGAGCGATCTGACAGGCATGAGGACGTGTGTACAGGCTCCCTGACACAGAGCTGTTGTGCTTTTTGAACTGCTGCTCATTTGTGCATCTATGGCACGTGTTTTGACTCTAAATGTGTACAGGAAGGTAGATGATATACTAAAGGAAGGTAAAACACAGACACGTGTTTAAAACACAGAGATAAATATGTTAAAGATAATGGCAAAATTAAGCAGAGTTAAGTGCTGAGAAAGAGAGCAAAGACCAAGTCAGTTAAAAAAGAATGAGGCTCAAGCTAAACTACTGATGATTTTAGGAGAATCTGACTCCATTTTTATGTTTTGTTTAGACATTCCTTCTGGACGTCTAAAAACCAAATTCTCTCGAATCCCAACTGCATTTCTAAACCCAAGCACGGTGGGAGATTTCCAGTCAAGATGGCAGAGCAGGTAAACACCGTGCTCCCCTCTGCCCCTGACACCAAAATTACAACCAAAACTACGAACAACTGTCACTGAGAACCGCCTCAGGTCTAGCGGAACCGAAGTCCTGTAACTGACACACAGAAGCAGCCACCTCGAGAGTGGAAGGAGGGGCGGGGACGTGGAATGGGCTGGTCCCACACCCACGTGTGGCCATTAAAAATCAGGAGGGACATCTCGGCTGCAGAGGTCCCCCCTGGGGGAATGAGGGGTCCCAATACCACACCAGCATCCCCAGCCCATTGCTCCGGTGCCGGGGAGAGAAGTCCCCATAACTTCTGGCTGTGAAAACCAGCGGGGATTCCTTCTGGGTGAGACCGAGGGCGGCTGGACTGCCAGGCTCCCCGTAAAGGGCCCACACACAGTCACCAACTCACTTGCTCTGAGCTCCAGCGCAGGACAAGCCACTGGAAAAGCACCAGGGACATACGAGGACGAACTGAACTGACCAACTCCAAGGCAAGGGCTGGCGGGGCGCTCATCAGGGCAGCTCTATCCAGACTGAAGTGCTGGTGGGCGCCACTGTTCCCTTCTCAGCGTGTCCCCCGCCAGCCAGCAGGCATCACAGCTGAGTCGCCATCAGCCTGGCTAACACCGCTCAACCCACCCCACCCCAGCACCCAACCCAAACCTCTTCCAGGGGCTTCTCCACACAAGCAGCCTGCCTTGGCTGATGCTGCAGACTTTCCTAAAATCTCTCAAAGGTTCACACCCCCAAACAAGCAGCATCTGGCCTCGGCGAGCCCCTTACCTCGTGCTGAGCAGCCCCAAGCCCAGCCTCAGTTCCCAGCTTCAGCTCTGCCAGGCGCCTCCAAGCCCAGCACAGGCAGCAAACATCTCCAGATCCCTTTGTAGCTCCTCCCAGATGGTCCCAGGCGGGGCACAGGCAGAGGCTGACCTCGGCCTACACAGCAGCCCCTCCCAAGAGGCCCCAGAACCAGCAACACATCCAGCTTCAGACTACAGCAGAGCGTCCCTCAACCAGCTCCACAAACAACACACTCAAAGGGCAGACTCGATAATATCGTAACAGCTGTGTAGGGCGCCAGGTGGGTACCAGACCTTCAGGGTGATCACTTCGTAAAGTATACCTGTGTCTAATCAACATGTTGTATACCTGAAACTAACATTGTATATCAGCTGTAACTGAAAAACATACAAATAAATAAAAACAAGTGTAGTGGGATTGCTAAGTGTACTGAAAAGCCTGTCATGAAATGCTCAGTACACCATCATCTAACTGACACCCAATTCAAGCCCATCTTCTCAGCCAGTGCTCCTGGGACCGCTCTTGCTCACAGTGTTTCCTCTTTTTCCTGCATTCTCAAGTCTCAGACTAAACTGGTGAGCTCCACAGCTCAGGGCCTCCCCTCCACGGTTAGCGACTCAGGCGTGTCCTGTCTCCTCAGTCAGCAGGAGCTCGAGAAAAGCCCGGCCCAGCGCGCCCACAGCCAGCACAGGGCACACGAAGGCAGGACGAGGAATGCATAGCCCCTGGATTTCCTCCACATTTGCAGCTCATGGATCTGGACACCTTTTCATATTGATTGTAGAAAAACACAGACATTTCTAAGAGGCTTTCTTCTCCAATAAAACCTTTTCAAGTTGTTTCTGTTTTAAAAGAACAACTTGGAGAAAGAGGCAGGCAGACCTGTGGATGGCTCTGTACCCTCAGGCAGCTCCAGACAGCAGAGCGCCCCCCGAAGCGGTGCCCCGAAGTCTAAGCTTCAGTGACCTTTATCACAGTCCACTGACAAGAACCACAAACAAGTCCAATTCCCACATAGCAGCGTGTGAATAACTGGCAAGGGCTGACTGCACTGTGTCCTGCTTTCCTCCCACCCTTGAAGCTTAGGTGTTTGGCTCAGCTGCTGAGAAAGTGGGACCGCACGTGTGTCGCCCACCCACGGCCGTCCTGGGATTCTCCCCGCAGCCCGTAGTCCCCTGCTCGCACCCACCGTGGCTAAAAGCACTCCACAATCACTGTAGCATTCTAAATCCCAATGTACCCCCCGAAGTGGGGTATTTTAAGATGAAATGTCTATATAAATGTAAATGAGTGAAAGCTCCTCTCTGAGGAGAAACAAGAAAGGGCCTCGGTTTTCCCCAAGGCTAGATGTGATTTTTGGTATATCTAGATGTGAATCGAAAAAACTGGAGGTGTAGGGCCGGCTGAGTGGCTCAGTTGATTAAGAGCTCGCTCAAGAGTTTGAGCTCTGAGCAACAGCGGTTCGAGTCCAGCCCGAGCTGAGCAGCCGCTGAGCTGCCAATAGGTAGCAGGATGGCTCAGCTAAAAACAAAACAAAACAAAACAAAAAAACTGGAGGTGATTTACATCAATGAACATACTGTAGAAACCAATCGCAGAAGCGCCTGTGATCCCAGACAAAGACAAGCCCCAGGGCCGGCAGGGCAGGCTCACCAGTGTTGTAGGCAGTCGGCATGGCTGAGTACACGAGCCCCTGCGGGGGCAAGCTCGGGGTTGTCACGGACACCACGGGGGTAGCGAGAGGTTGAGTGGCTTGAGAACTGCTTATCCTTTGGGTGTTCTGTGAGAGAGCAGAAAACAAGCAAAGTGTTATTTTGCACGTATTTATAGTCAGACTCAGTATTTTAAAAATAACATTCGATTCAATAAAAGTAACATGTTTCGCAGCTTGATGATGGGAATGTCATTATTCATGAAGCAGTGATGGTGTGAAAAACCTTCATACTGATGGGAATAAGTATTTAATTTTCAGGGACAACTTTACATTGATTATTCATTTTCCTTTGTCTTTGTCATAGTTACTGTCAGAGCTACATCCCTAACATAGCAACTTGCGTGATGAGTGATCGATCGCACGTATGTGTGAGCGTGAGGACTTGATGCCACTGCAGACGCTGCCCGGCGACCCTGAGTAGGGTGTCTGTAGGTCCATGGTACCGAGGACGGCCAAGGTCAGCAGCACAGAGAGGCCAACATGGCTTTAGGGGAGGGCTTACTGATGTGCAGCCTGTTGGCTCTCCTTCCCTGTAATCCTGCAGCTGAGTCTATCTGTGTATTTACTGGAGACCGTTTTACATGGGGAGGTCCAGATCCCCGAGCATGCGCCCCGCACGTGCAGCCTCCTTCATTCTGAACAGCGCCCACCAACTGACCTATTTGTTCACAGCAGATTCAGCCACTAGCGCTGCCGTCGCCGGCCTCTGCTGAAAGGAGCGACTGGCTGAGGGCTTTGGAAGAAAAGTACCTTTGACAGGCTGTGAATGGAGTGATATTAAATGCTCACTGACTGACTCCATCTATACAGGACCCTACCTACACGGGGAAGGGATTAATGAAATCAGCTGCTGAATGATGAAGTCAGCCCAGGAAATCGCTGTCCTCGGTGCGCAGGCTATGACAGTGCAGCTTCTCAGTGTGCTGGCTGAGGGGACGCTGTCCAAACCCAAGAATCAGAGGACAGGACAGACGCCAAGGTTAGTAGCCAAGAGGCCCAAGCACAAGTCCAGGGTCATCTGTTTCTAAATGAAGACGTTACAGCCCGATAACTGACGTTTGAGGCTCTAAGCCGTATCAATCAAAGTATAATTCAGATTATAAAGAATCAGAATGGGGTTCGGTTTTCTCTGTCACCATTTTCAAAGGGTCAGAGGAAGGCCTTTGGGGAGATCTGGATACCTGAACGTTGATCATTTGTTAAGGATCCAGACCTCAGCTTCTTTCTTTGTAGTTTTTAATATCTATACAGTCTTAAGTGAGAGGATGTTAGAAAGACCACCAAGTATGTGGTTTTATTGCCCAGGTTTTATCCTGGATTCATCACTTCCTAAGCACTGCAAGAATCTTTTAACGTCTCCCAATTTCTTCGTTTGTCAAGAAGGGGAGACAGTGACCTTGCAGCACTGCTGAGGGTCAAGTGCGGTAACAGACGGGCAGTGCTTTGGGAACTGAAGTACCGTATGAAGGAGAGACGGTGCCCTTATTGTCCCAACAAACCCTCTAGCCCAAGACATCTACACAACTGGTGAGAAAAGGATAAATACTTTTATTCCTTCTGACCTGCAGCTATTCCCCTGGAGCTGTCGGGAAGTCAAGTTGTTCTGGCATCGCCAGGCTTCTAACGGAACCCCTGTGGCCTGGCCTGGCTCTCAGGAGTCTTTAGAGTGGGCTCTAGGGTACCTGCCCGTCCTCAGAGCCATCCATGAGTCTATCCTGGAGCTCAAACCCATCTGAACTTGCTAAACAACAGCTTGCGTCTGGCATTGTTTTATAAGCGTAAGTGACTTCTGGAACCACTAGAGGGCGACATACTGCTAGGTAATTCACAAGGAAGCACTCATGACAACTCCTTATGGGTCAATAGTGAAGTCTAATGCAAGATGAGTTCTTTTATCTCGAATTATAAACTTCCATTTGGTCATCATTACTGTATCATTAAGTATTTTCCCAAAAGACAATCCAAATCCACACGTGATATAATCCAACGCCACAATGACAGCTGACGAGTGTATTTCAGTTAACCAATGCAAAACTGTGATCACAAAGTTAAATAAAGAATGGTCTCTTATTTTAAGGACAGAGCACAGACCACCTTATTTGAAAAAAGAAAAAACTGTGCAAAACACACCAGCATGCATATATACATAATAATAAAATGTAAGTAAAACCAACAGGTGCCTTTCCCCCATGCTTTCATGCAATCTGAACCCCCATCCATGCTAAAAACTACACTTTTTCAAGTTTTTATTTCCCTGAAAGTCATCTAATTAGCAGGTAACTTTGAATTCATCTGATCACTTCTGTGAGGTATGGGTTTTAGTTCCCAAAGAAGAAAGAGACCAACTGAAAGTTTTTAGTCAAATTCATTTTCTAGAAGAAAAGCAAATAGAAATCATTTGTTTGGGGGAAAAAAGGTAATGACAGCTACTTTAAGAATGGAATCTCTTCTGATAGAAAAAAAGTCAATTTGTGTATGTTCAATTTCAGACGTTCCTTTCAGTAAACAGGGAACCCCTTTGTGCCTCAGATCGTCTCATGCAGAATGAAATAGTTCCAACTCTGAAAAAGGTGACCTCACCAAAAATGATGTAATCTTTTTGAAAGAAAGAGAAATAACACAAGACCATGTGTTACAATCTGAGGAACTTTGAAGGTGAAGTCATTTTCTAAAAATATGATAATAATTTGGAGAACTATATAAGGTATTTTGTATCTTTCCTTTAAAAAAAAAATCTTTAACAAGTGGCAGCTATTGTTTTTGGAGGCTCTTTTCCAATGTTCCAACAAATAAAATGGATCAAGATATAGAGTTATAACTAGAAAAGCAAGATGCTGTGTTACCAGTAGGGTTAGTTGTTCAAAGTGCATGGACAGTGTTGAATAACAAGTGATATAATCTGTGTAACAAGATTAGATGGAAACATTTAAGAGAACTAGTACTTTCTACATCTTTTTCAACTCCCTTCAAGCAGAAGCCCACACTCACCAACTCCAATTCCTCTTCCTCCGACTGCACTCAGCACATAAGAGGGATAAGAGAGTTAAAGGCTGTTGGTACTCGAAGGTAAAGTATTTCTCTAGAAACACATGTTATTTGGACACTCGCAGTTGCTGGAAAGTCTAAAGAAATAATTATACATGCAACGAATACAAATATAAATTCTTGACTGTCTCTGTTCCTGCAGTGGGTTTTAAGACTGGAAAGATTCTTTTAAATGTTCTAGGGCCAGGATTTAAAGACACACCAACCGCCACTTGGTCTGCTGTTACGCCTACGCACAGCCATGCTACGGCGACAATATTGAACAGGGGTCATCCTCGCAACAGCAGCTATATTTGGAACCCTGAGAACACTACCTGTGTACTTACATCTTCAGCCTACCACCCCACCCCACGTGGACGCACACGTCCCTTTATCTCCTACTAGATTCTGTGTCCCTTACTGGACAGAACTTAGTCGTGTTTTCTTATTTCCCACAGTAGCTAGCACAGTGTTAGGAAACAAGACCTCAAGCACCTGTTAATAAGTATAATAGTTTTGAACATATTTCTGTAGGTTTATCATTTGCAAATATAATTTTCATAAGAGTAAAATAATTTCAATGGAGAAAAACCACATATATGAAGAAAATGAGCCTAGAGGAGAAGTGATACGATAATCACATACAGAAAAGAGATGAATGGAACATATTTACTCCTTTTCTCTTAAACATCTAGAAAATATTCACATGCTAGAATGATCTACTAACTAGCTTTTATTTATTTTACTTGATTAAGTCAAGCTTCTTTGTCTTTCTGTGAAAGGGGTCTTTATAAGCATCACTGATACATGAAGCCCCAATCTGAAGGCAGCTTTATCTGCAAACTAATGGTGTAAAAAAGGAGGCAGACTGGTTTACTCTGAAAAACAATCACTTGCCCTACAACTGCTGTTTCAAATGCGGATAAAATGCTCTTCCACTGTTTTGTTATAGAAGCTTTACACATCTCCAACTATAAGATACAAATCTAAATATTATGTGTGTGTGTGTGTGTGGTTTTATCTGTAACCTACAGGGATAAGGGTGTAAATAGTTTATGGGGTCAATTTTGAGTATTCCATGAAGATGTCTCATGATCCCATCTTTAAAAAGACATCAGAGATCATCTTGACAAGCTGCTGAGCACCTAAATGTAGTTTGTCCTTAAGCTTTGCCATTTACTAAATTCTTATAAACATATTTCTGGGCCTTAAATGAAACTTTCTCTAGTTTTTATTTCTGAAAGATGGCGGCAGGTGTTATACACCCAATTCCTGAAAGGTGAGCCCAATGACTCTTCCAAATGCCGTTTCTTCTCAGCAGTTTTTTCCGGCTATTTCTTTGTTATATAGTATGTATTTTTAACTTTGTGTTCTCAGATAATTTTAGACTTAGAGAGCAGTTGCAAAGAGAGCATACCATCACACATTTCACCCAGCTTTCCCCAAAGCGAACATCCCAAAGAAACAGGACACCCTTGTCATAACTAGTGAAATAACATAGCGGTAACTAAAGCCATACTCTTTGCTTAGATTTCACCAGCTTCTCACCAATGTCCTTTCTCTGATCCAGGATCAGATCCTGAATCCCAAATGCCTTTAGCTGTCATGTCTCCTTAGTCTGTTCTGGTCTGTGACAGTTCCCTCAGTCTTGCCTTTTCATGACCTTGACAACTTGGGAAGAACTAGTCCGGTATCTTCTAGAATGTCCCTCAATTTGGGTGTCTGATAGTTCCTTATAGTTAGAGAGCACGGATTTGGGGAAGAAAAACACAGAGGTGATGTGACCCTCGGCGCATCACTTCCATTGCCCGTGATGTTAACCTTGATTTTCTGGCTAAGGTACTGCCTTCCAGGATTCTCCACTGCAAAATCACTCTTTTCCCCTTTGTCATCAACAGTTATTTGGGGGGAGACATTGTGAAGCTATGCAAATATCCTGCTTCTCCAACTTTCGCTCAGTTCATCTGCTGACCTACAACAATGAGCTATGATGGTGACTGGCTATTTCTCGCATTCCTTCTACACGTGTTAATGATAATTCTCCTCTAAGGAAGGGGTGTCCCTTCTCCCTTTACTTATTCAATCATTTACTTACATCACTAACAAACGCCGTATTTTGTATTCCTTGGGTTATCATGCAACACTATTGTTATTTATTTTGTTGCTTAAATTGTTCCTGTTTGGGCCCCTGGGCGCTCTCCTGAAAGGCTGGTTCCTAAGTTACCTTTTGGGGTGCACTTCCTGTCCTCTAGCACTTCTGGCTCATCTTCTAGCTCCCCACCCCAGCTCTACAATCAATCACTCCTCCAAGGAGTCCCGATGCCTTTTAGTGGAGAATGCAGTTTTAAGATGAACATCTGAGTGCTAGGTGTGCTCAGTTCCAGGTGTCATTGTTTTAAGGTGCTCTCAGCAGACAGAGCTACGAAATATAGGATGCATACTAATTCATGTGAACACACACCTATATTTCTGTATCTATTTCTATATGTTTAAAAAAATAAGTTCATACTGAAACCTCCAACGACAACCCAGAAATTCTAGCCTTCCCAGCTCCCACCCAGTGTTTATATGTAACTTTTTTCTCCAACAATGAGAAACATGGCTTTCTTTATCTATGAGAGAGAGAGAGGAGAGGGGAGAGGGGAGAGGGGA